TGACCAGAGTCGTGACTTTGAGATAAGTATATGCGTAGAATATGTGTGAAGATTTGAAACCTGATTGTCTTGCTCCTGACCTTTCAAGTCAAAACATGTAACTCTTTACTGCCAGTTTTCTGCCATCTGCCCTTTCTTTCCAGAACAGCTTTCTCCAAAATTCCTTTTTCAACAGCTTCAACTTTTACATTTTCAATTTATTTTTGTAAGAGTCCCGTGGCTGTGGCCTTGGAGCAGGAAACACAAAATGATTGCTCAGCCCTGGGAAAATATATATAAAGAGAGAGTATGAAAAAGTATCTCATAATTGTCCTTCCTTGAACTTGTGGTCTGTAAAAAGGGGAATAGTGAAGCTTTTGGACAAGTTTCCGAGACTCTGTTAATATAATTTACAAAATTGTATTCCTTGTGGATTCTTTTTTTAAAAATTTCTTTCATTTCATTGATTTGTTTTTTTAAAAGTATTAAATCCAGAAGAACAGAAACAAGGGAAGGACGCAGGGAAAAAGCAACATTGGGGGGTGCAGACAAGAAGCAAATACACACATTTTAAGGGAATGTACCAAGCAGAATTTGATTGAAAATAGGTTTGCGTTATAAAATAGAGGTTAGAAAATGAATGTTATAACTGCAAAGATGTAACTTAAATTTTTAAATAAGATTTGTAAAAAGATACAAAGGTATTATTCTCCAGCCTAGTAATTACAGGGGAAAGTTTTTAAAAATTAGGAAAAGATATGTAGTTGGATTAAGAAAGGAATGAGATAATTTAAAATAAGGCTATAGGCAGTAACGAAAGGGAAAAGCTATTGAAAACATTGCAAAAATAGTTATAAGATATGGATTAGAATGTATAAGATAAATATGTATTGAGTTTATGTCTGTATGGAGAAGTGATAACCCGGGGCCACGCTGTTCTCAAAAACAGATATTTTATTTGTATTTGTATGTTTTGGGAAAACTTAAATAAAACTTTTATTTTTTAAAAAAAGAAGCAAATACACACGCGCGCGCGCGCACACACACACACACACACACACACACACACACACACCAATCTTCTGACTTTCTTTGGTACAGATACAAGCAAGAAATACAATGATCCTGCCAACTGGAGTAAATTATAGCACATTTTATTTTTATAGCCATAAACAGTTCTGATAATCAAATCCCAAGGTTAAAATGTCATTTATTTCAGTTTCATACAAACAGTTCAAAATTATTTCCAAGTAGAAGTGAAGCTAAACAAAGACTTTTTTTTCATTAAAACACTCAGTTTCAGCATCTCAATTAATTCCATTAACTTCATCATCCATCCTTCTGTCACCGGTGTTTGTGAGTCCTCCCATCTTTGTGCATAAAGATATCTTGCTGCTTTTATCATGTATAAGAACAAAGTTCCATGTTTTCTTTTGCTTGTCCATTTTTTTTGTCCATCAAACCTAGAAAAAAATGTTTGGTTTCAATTATATTCAATTTAATTTGAGAATTCTCTGAAACACATGCGCACACACACATACACGCAAGCACTAGTAAAGGTCTTCAAAAACTTGGGTTTATCTGACTTGAGAGACTATTAGGAACTAAATGTTGTAGTTTGATTGGTCAGTTAAGATCAGATAGGATTGAATAAGTAGTGCCACTGCTGTGCAAGAGTTTCTGATCCTATAGTATGATTTGAAATATAAACTGTAACTATTTGCTATGTGGCTTAACCTTCCTTTATATATTGTTGGTTATCAATATGGGATTCTCTGTATATAAATGGATGTTATTTGAATGAATGAGTACAGGTGATCATGATCAATAAAACAATAGACAAGCAAAAAGGAATTTTCCAGATGGGAAAACAGCTTGAAAAGGCTTTGGACAGACAGGACTAATATGAGTTATAATACTCCATATAACAGTTATTTCAATTTCATTGCTACATTTATTTTTTAAGGGTTGTATCTGAATGTCATATTTCATTTTATATTTTATTTCAATCAAGAAGGCTTCTGTTAGTCATGACAAAGTTAAGTCCTACTGGTTTCAATGGAACTATTCTACATATGGATATCTAGGTGAATCTGGGAGATTAACAATTAACCAGTGGAAGTGACTTCTGACTTCCTGCCAGCTTCCCCAGCGAGATTCCCTGTGGAAAGTTGGCAAGGAGCAACAGAAATCTTCCTTCCTTCCTTCCTTCCTTCCTTCCTTCCTTCCTTCCTTCCTTCCTTCCTTCCTTCCTTCCTTCCTTCCTTTTACATCAGGCATATAAATGGTTCCCGCTGGGTTGGAGAGGGAGCAAGGGATTGTAAGATTAGTTGGGAAATTATCACAGATTGTTGAAAATAAAGACCCCATGGCCCCAGCTGCAGGGCAGGAATGCAGCAACCAGTAGCACTGAGTAGCCTCAAGATCCACAAATTTCAATCCCTTGAGACAGTGGTGGGATTCAAAATTGTTTACTACCAGTTCTGTGGGTATGGCTTGGTGGCTGTGGCTTGATGGCCATGGCAGGGGAAGGATACTGTAAAATCTCTATTCCCACTTTACTCCTGGGGCAAGGTTACTGCAAAATCCCATTTCCCATCCCACTAACCTGTCCGTTCTCCTGTGCAGGACAACAAAAGAAAACCCAGCTGATCAGCTGGGACTCAGGAGGCAGAGAATAGATGGGGACATGGCCAACCAGAAGTAGTATTTGTCCGTTCTCCGAACTACTCAAAATTTCCGCTACCGGTTCTCCAGAACTGGCAGAACCTGCTGAATACCACCTCTGCCTTGACAGTCATGGGTCTCAGATTTGGGACACATTCTGAAATTAGCTGTACATTTCTGTAATTTGAGGTTGAAAAGTTATTGCTTATGATACACCATTTTTCCCAGTTAAAGATATTATAATGAGAGTTTTAGTATTATATAATCTAGATATAGCAGTTTCTTAATTTCTTCTCCCTCATAAAAGCACTTCCCACTGATATTTTTTTAAGAACCCCCATTTCCTCCTCCTCTATAAAAACTGTAACAACAAAAACACCATGTATCTTGTTGATACATGGAGCTACAGCACAATTACTAAAGTATTAAGTAATGCTGTCTGTCTTGTAGAAATAGTCTATTTCCAATATCAGTGATTCTCCTTAAAGAAGTTAGAGGAATACTGACTTGCATGATTTTGTTATTACTTAGATATTGTGAGTGAGTGAGTGAGGAAGGAAGGAAGAAAGGAAGGAAGGAAGGAAGGAAGGAAGGAAGGAAGGAAGGAAGGAAGGAAGGAAGGAAGGAAGGAAGGAAGGAAAGAAAGAAAGAAAGAAAGAAAGAAAGAAAGAAAGAAAGAAAGAAAATGTAAACAGGCAAAGATTATTTATGAAGGAGGATAGGAAATGATAGGCCACATTGCAGTTTCAAAGATAAAAACTGGATGTGAGAGGGAAGAAAAGGTCCTTGATTTGTACCCAATGGAGATATGAAGTTAACAGTCTAAGCAGGTCATTTGCTCTCTTGAGTTATCATAATGATATAAAAATTGCATAGTAGTTTAAAAAGTCGTTTGCTTATTATACTGAAAGAAGAGTCATTTTGGCACATTTTGGTTAGAATGTATTATTGCAGGTTGATTCTGCCCACTGCCAGGAGTTTGATCCTGACCAGTTCTAGATTGACTCAGCTTTCCATCCTTCCAAGGTCAATATAATGAGGACCCAGATTCTTGGGGGCAATATGCTGACTCTGTAAACTGCTTAGAGAGGTCTGTAAAGTATTGCAGAGTGGTATGCAAGTGCTATTGCTATTAAAAGAGATGAAAAAAATCTAGAACTATTTTAGTGAAATAAAATGTCTACAGGTGAATCGAAAAGTCCTTTTCCTATGATACTCTCCTAACTTTTCTTGTAGCTAAGTGAAAACATTTTTCTTTTGCACTACAATGATTTTCATATTTTTAGTGGATGTCCAAAACAATCATCAATGTATTGATATATACTGTTAGCCTGAAATGTTTGCACAATGCATCTATCATATTCTTGATTGGAAGATTCTGGTGAAAATGCTTATTGACATTGACTCACACGGCCCAATTTCATTCCATGATATTTTCATAGTGTTAATAATTTATGTTCCTTAAGGAACAGCATCATTAATAGACAGGAACTCTGAACATCTATGAATACACCATCATTTTTAAACAGTAGATAATCATGATAGGGATAAATGTTTTCTTGGTGACAAAATATCTGTCTTTGTGTTGTACTGACCATCTGTTATAACTATTGGTGCATATTTAATTTTGTTTCTAAATACTTTCTAGAAGCCACCTTTTACTTTTTATAACTTCTGTTTCCCCAAGCTGATTTAATTTCAACTTATGCTTCATTCTTTAAAACAGATAAATTCTTAGATGAACATGGTTGCTTTGATGTAAAATGCCTTCTTATTGTTTTGGAATATACTGTTGAAATGTAAAGGAATGAATGAGCATAAATGTAGAAAATAGGTTTGTATGGGACCTTCTCAGAAGAGAAGAATGAGAATCAAAGGCCTTTGATTACTTCTGGAAAGAAAAAAAGATAGCAGTAGAACTATTTTCCAGAACAAAGCACAACACAAATGATCAAATTATTTTATCAGAATGGCCATTGGTCCTTTTCATTCTATTTAATAATACATGAACATTTAAATATTGTTTGTATATTATCTTGTCCCCAGCATGGTATATTGCTTCCATTGTTTGATCAATTGGCCCTTATTTCATATTTTTTTAAAAAAACTTTTTTTTAAGTCCCAAAAGATTACATAAAGTTTGCATGAAAACAGTAGAGATGATAGTAGATTTTAGGAGAAGACCTCCTACATTACTACCACTCGCAATATTAGACAACACAGTAACAACAGTAGAGATCTTCAGGTTTCTAAGGTTCTAGAATATCTCAAGAGTTAAAATGGACACTTAACATCAAATACATAATCAAAAAGCACAACAAAGGAGTTAACTCAGGAACAGGCTGCTCAAGGAGCTGCTGATACAGTTCTACAGAGGAATTATTGAGTCTGTCATCCAGGGATGGGATTCAAATTTCTTAACAACTGTTTCTGTGGGTGTGGCCTAATTTGTGGGTGTGGCTTGGTGGTCATGTGACTGGCTGGGTGTGGCTTGTATGTAAATATTATAAATATTTATGTAAATATTGATTTTTTTTATAAAAAAAGAGCAAATTTACCCAAAATCAGTAAAGCAGGCAGATAGATTGAGTTGCTCACAGAATCACAGATTCACTCAGAGATCTACCTTTCTGCAATCTGCTAGCTGAGTCTGTCACATAAAATTTGCTTACAAGCAAACTCATAAAATTTGCTAGCAAGCAAACTCACAAAATTAACTTACAACACACCATGTATATAAATATTGATTTTTTTATTTAAAAAGTGCAATTTTTACCCCAAATCAGGCAAAGCAGGCAGGCAGATTGAATTGTTCACAGAACCACAGATTCACTTAGAGATCTCTCTTTCTGCAATCTGCTACCTGAGTCTGCACTGAAAAATAGAAGCTCTAGTCCTACAGAAGATTCAGCTCTGCTTTTAGATTAGCTAGGAAGCAAGAAATTCAATGATTTCCTGCTTTCTAGCTTATCTAAATATCCTGGCACAGCAGAACAGCTGATAATTGGAGGAAAAAAGGAAAAATATCAACTTAGCAGGCAAGTTTGATGGCTCATAGGCCAGGTAAGAAGTGAGTGGGTGTGGAGGGGAGGGGTGGGGTCAGCCAGTGGCACGATTTGCTGGTTCTTCAAACTGGGCAGAATCATAACAACCGGTTCTATAGAAATGGTTCAACCAGGTAAAATACCACTCCAGCTGTCATCTCCACCTCTATAACTGTCGGGTTTGGGTCTGCAACCAAACAAGACAGACACAGACTTCAACTGATAATTAGAACTGCAGAAAAAACAATTGCTATCAACTTGCCTTCCATTGAGGGCCTGTACAGCACAAGTCAAAAAGAAGGCTGTGAAAACATCTACAGACCCTCACATAGTGGACCTAAACAGTTTCAACTTCTGTCCTCAAAATGATGCTATAGGCCATTGCATACCAGAACAACTGGACACAAGGACAGTTTTTCCCCCATGCCATCACTCTGCTAAACAACTAATTCCCACAACACTGTCAAACTATCTAGACAGACAGTACTACCATCATTATTCTCATCTTCCCTATTACCTATCTCCTTATGACTATAACTTTGTTGCTTGTATCTTACGATTTATATTGTTTACTTAGTGTCCTAGTATGATTCATGTTGATTGCTTATTTAGTATCCATGACTATCAGTAAGTGTTGTATCTAATGTTTTATGATGAATGCATTTTTACAATGATAGTGATCTATCACTATTGATGTATGTATACTGAGCGCTTATGCATCGAAGACAGATTCCTTGTATATCTAATCATTGGCCAATAAAGAATTCTAATTCTAATAATTTTGAATGAATTATTATTATTTGTCTATCCTCCATTCTGTGTTGATCCTAAATCATGTACAGCATTGCTTTCTTTCTCTCCCATTTCCAGGAACTTAAAGCGCTCCAAAATTTAATATATATGTTTTACAAATTTCCCTAACACTCTGCTTAAACTCTCTGTGGCATGTTTGTTGAATTCATCTTGGTTTTATGTTCTATAATAATTTCTCTGATCTTAAATCAAATTAAACCACTTGAGGAACATGGGACGGCCTGCCAAATCTATCTATCTAGTCCAGCATCTTGTTTTCCAAGTAGTACCCAGTTAAATCCTTTGGGAAATCTACAAGTAAAACATAAATGAAATAGCAATTTTCTTCTGTCTATGCTAAGCACCTAGCCTTCAAAAGGGCAATGCTTGATTGCAAAGGCTTTTGTAGCTGATCACCTGTTCATTAGGTTACTTAACCTGTTTTTCCCCTTTTCTTGTTTTTTACATTGATGATATACAAAATGGTGATGGGCAGTTAATAGCTTTTAGGAGAAATTCTATTATAGTAAACAGTTTTGCCCATTACCCCAAATTTCCTTTTTAAATCAACCTAAATAGCATGCCATTCCGCTGCAAATAGGGTTGGGCATTTTAGTTTTGCTCTAAAATCAAGTACTGCATTAATACTGTAATTACTTATCACAGCTTCCTGTGGATATTTGAAAAGGTGACATCAGGATGGTTGACAAAGGATTTTCTTTTAAAAAAATATCTGTAGAACTTTATATAAGAGAATTTCCATTCAAAACCTCAATCCCGCTGCATGCTAATCACATAGTAATGTCCCAGCTTTGAATACACTGGGCATAGAAATTGTGAAGGCTCCATTTGCTTTTCACAAATTACACAAACAGAGCACAGTCACCAAATGCATCACACGGGCTTGAATTCCCTGCAGAGTTTTCAGCACATTACTATAGGTGCTAATGGGCTGGAAAGAGTTTTTCGGTCCATTAGCAATTTAGTCATATCTTTAGCGCCACAGAATTGGAGGGGACCTCCATGATTACCAGACTATTACATTGCCCTGAGACAGGATTTGTAGATTTAAGCATCTCCAAACAGAGATCTACTTATCACTTTCTTAAGGATCTGAAATGCAGGAAACTTCCCTTTCCCCCTAATATTCTACAGAAATGAATATTGAAATCATTTCATGAGAACAAAGCCGGCTCACTTAATGTGGACAGCAAAGCAAATACCAACCATCAGCCTTGTATTATAGCCTCAAAAGCACTCTGCAGGCATCCTGATTTGACTATTTCCCTTAGGTGGCTAAAATAAAGGCACAATTTTCAGGGATCTAAACAATCTTTTGTGAATGGCAATTGCTCTGCTTTTGGTTTCATGGAAGATTATATTGTAAAAGTCAGGTAATCAAGAACGTGACTCCATATGTGACTCCAGCTTGAAGATTTTGGATGTGGACCACAGACTCAAAAATTATCCTGATTCTACAATGAATTCGTAGGCATGAAAAACAATTGGGTGACTTTCAGTCAGTCACTCCCTCTCTACCCAGTTGACCTCACAGGGATGTTGTTGTGGGAAAAACAGGAGGAGGAAAGAATATTAAGCATATTTATCACCTTATTTATAAAAATAAAAAGGTAGGATTTAAATATAAACCTAAAAAAAAACAAATTTAGTCTTTCTACCTTTACCATTAACAACTGTTCTGGCCCAGATAGAATGTTGTCCCAGGCAACTATTATTCAGTTCATTTAAATATTTTATTAGTCAAACACACACACACACACACAACATCAACAGACTTTGAATGTACAGGGTTTGCTTTCTGATTCTTCCTTTTCATTTTCTTTCTCCATCCTGTCATTCAGTCTAAGAAACAGTGAGCCAAAGAAATATCTGTTTGCCTGCCAAATCCGAATTACTGTTTCTCTTCTGGCAGAAGGTGATCTTTTTTATATAAATCATCAACAACAACAATAACAACTAGCTTCCTTTCAGATGGTGGGAAGAGGGGGAAAAAAAGTAATAATCAGACAGAATTCCTGCAAATAATGCTGTTTCCATTAACCATTAAAAAGGAAAATAAAACACCTCCTTTATAAGCCCTAGCCTAATAGATCAAACAATTCAGAGGTTTGTTTGTTTTTTATTTACTTGTTCATCATTTCTCGGAATTAGAATCTTAAAGAGTGATAATATTTAATTTGAAGAGATATGAGTAGAACTTGGCATGGGCTTTCATTCAAAAAAGTCTGAATCATTCCTTCAGTTGAGATACATTTTGCATGATAAGCATTGTTTTAGTTTCCTGGGCAATATTTTCCTGAATATGTTTTACTGATGAAAAAAAAAAGATTAATCTTTTATTTTATTCGTTGGCTTGGTTTCACCTTGTGGTTGGTTGGCTCTTAATTCATTTTGTTTGAACTACTGGATTTTCATTGCTGCCTATTTTCTACACTTATGGTTGAATTCATATTAAAATGTTAGAACTGGTGAGTTGGATGCAATTTTCTACCAAATCAGGACTACAATATATTCCACCTAGCAGAGACATAACACTTTTCCTTGATGAGGATTACCTACAATGAGGAGCACTTCTTCTGGTACTTCCTTTAGCCAGGAAAATAACTTTTGTCTGAAATTGATTTTACAGAAGTCAAGCCCTCTTACTGAAGCAAAGTACTTTTCGGAATAATAAACCTATATAATAGTAGTAAATATGATGCATTTTCAAAAGTAGAAGCAAAACAATGTATACAGAATATCAAGTATAAGATCCAACTTATCCATATTTTTCATGTATGGTTCCAAAAATTCCTCACTGTTCTCCATCTGGCTGCAAGTGCTGTTAATTATATAAGCCCTATCATAACTATGCTGTGTCCTTCAGAAAAATAACCCACCATGGCTGTGTCCATAAGCTACCAGTGTTATTTAAAAATAGGTTTGCTGTTCCTATCTTCACAGATGATGTAATCTCAGGATACACAGCAGGTCTGGAAAAAATGTGTGCAATATGCTGAAAGCCATGCTAAAAATAGATGTCAGGATCCAAAGTAGACCATATTTTTTTAATAAAGGATATTGAGAAATTTAAGAAATGGGGTGAGGAAAATAAAACAAGATTATATAGATATATACCTTTAAAACTTGAATAAAAAGCTGTAAATATTTGCCAAAATTTCAGAAATATTCTAAAAATGAGTCCATCATGGGCTTTTAGGAAAGATTGGCCAACTAAAGGCAACTAAAGGCAACTAAAGGCCAACTCTAGACAATTGAAACTGACATTTGGAGCTGTTCCTTCTTCTGGTCTCATGGAGAAATTCCAAAACTGGGATTTTGAGAGGTGGGGAACAGAGGTGGTATTCAGCAAGTTCTGACCAGTTCTGGAGAACCGGTAGTGGAAATTTTGCGTAGTTTGGAGAACCGGCAAATGCCACCTCTAACTGGCCCCTCCCCCATCTATTCTCTGCCTCCCGAGTCCCAGCTGATCGGCTGGATCTTCTTTTGTTGCCCTGCACAGGAGAACGGAGCTGAAAAGCAGGTTAGTGGGGTGGGGAGGGAATGGAGATATTACAATATCCTTCCCCTGCCATACCCAACAAGCCCAACAAGCCCAACAAGCCACACCCACAGAACCAGTAGTAAAATCTTTTGAATCCCACCACTGGTGAGGAACCAAGAAGATGAGGGAAATTTCCAGCTGTAGCCCTTCAAGCACACTCTTTGTGCTTCTTTTGTTAACTGTTTTGGGGAATTGTCTATTAATGTATTTAAGGAAGTAAGACACCTGAGTGACAAGATTAGAAAAACCTGATAAATGAATGCTCTTAAACTTTAGTATAAGAATATGAAGATTTTCTTTTATAAACTCTAAGAACTTAAATAATAAAAAAAAATTTTTTTCAATACAATTGACTATTAAGATTTTTCCATAAAATAAATGCATGCTTGTTGAAAACAGAAAATAAAAAGATTTTGACTTTGGAAGACAAACAATTTATAATGGTGGTTTAACAAATGTAAGCTATGTTATGTCTTCTAGAGAACAGTCTGTTTCTAAAAGAAGATATCAGAGAGAAAGATATCCAGCAAAATTTATTTGAGGAGAATATGAATTCTTTGAATTCAAATCTGTTATCAGATACTTTCAATGAGGTTTTAAAAATCAAGAAATAAATAAAAAACGAGAGTCCTAGAAAACTGAATAATTTCACTCCATTGGATTTATAAAAGAGATTGTTTAAGATACAAAAGAAACTTGTAATACAGATTAACCATCTGAGTGAACTGTTTTATATAAAAGGGGAAAAGGATTATAAAGTCAGTTTTGTTAATCAGAGATAAAATAGGATGTTATTTTATTTGATTCTTTTTTCTGATATCTATTGATATCTGATTGGATTTGCCTAAAATGGATGTCATGTAGAACAGGGGTAGGGTTCTAC